GTACCTATATTAGCCCTACTGTTCAACTGAGTTATATGATAAAAAAAACAATTTAAATAAATATATTCTTGCAGAGTTTCATCAAACACCGAGTCCAATCCAATCCCAGGTATATGATGTGACCAGGAGAAAAAACACCAATACGTCAGTTCATTTTATGGACGAGTAGAAAAATGAAGAGAGCCTGTGCTTTATCAACTAATTTTTTTAAGTAGTAATTTGATTTACATTAGTTTAATCAATTAAAAAAGCAGTATTTTTATTTTTAAATACATGACATTGAAAGAAATTATTTTTTTCATTTGTATTTTCATAGAATCGACTATATTTAACTATTCCAAGAAACAAGCTGCAGTATTAGAAATATTTTACTGATAAAATAATGAGTTACATTCAAAAAACATACATAGAATTATGAAATTTCATAGTCTACATAAATACAGGAACATATTATTGCGATTCGGCTTTCCAAACTCGATGCTATGCATATGGAATATGATGTCAAAACCGAAGTTTGTCACAGTATCAACATTGAATATATTAAGTAGATACAACCTAACCTAAAATCAAACATAACAAATATTCCATAAATTAATTAGTCATTCCATGGATTCGCCCAGAAGTCAATTCAATAGTAACCGAACCATTAGTTATGTTTTAGAAAAGTTTATTACTTTTTGTCAAAATTATATTCCGTTTGGGCTTGGACAAAAATTACCTAATGACAGATATCGCAAAAAAATACAAATATAAAATCAAGGCGACTGTGATAACAGAGCAGCAGACTGTACTTACCGCAAGTCATTATTTAAATAGAAATATCAAAAAATTGTTCCATAAAAAAAATTAGACAAGTAGCAAAGCAAATACAGTAGGCAAATAAAGTGAACGACGTTTAACAATGTTTGTTAAACATTGTAAACGTGTAATTAGATTACTCTTAGCAATCTTTGACTTTAAATAAAACATTTTCCATTCTAATCTATCTCTTAATCTTGGAGATTATGGACAAATCTATTATACCATTACAAAAGTTATGCTTACCATACGGTTTAGCTTTGAAATTAGAAGCTGAAAATGTCAATTTTGAAATTATTATGGTAAAACACTCTTTAAAACAAAGATTCTGCTAAAGTAAGTTTGTGAAGCCAATTAATGCTTTTATAAAAAATATATCGTCATTATATTATGTTAGTCCACTGCTAGGAACAGGTTATTCAGTTTGCGGTCCACCGTTTTTGAAAAGTGATAATTTCAGAGATATTATAAATTCATAATTTTTTTTAAGTTAATGTTAAAGACGTGTTCAACTTCATTTCATGCACTGTTAATTAAACATTTAGCATTTCAATGGCCAAGTCATTGTTCAAGGCGATGAAATATAAGTTCGAAACGACAATTATTGATTTGGATCGTGACGTCACGCTCTTCTTAATATTTCATGGCGCCTGTGGCCCTGAGCTACACCGACCGTTGATCATTTTATTCAAAGGATTTAGTTACTCCAGACGACAGCTCTGCCTGTATATTATGTGTCATTTGTTAAGTCAACATAAAGTAGTTGTTTTTATTATATTTATATATTTTTAACGTTTTATTTGTGTTAGTGCAATTTATATTAAATGTGTTTTATTTAAAATGAATGAATGTAAGTGAGTCTATATGTATTAATAAAACTACATTTTATAGTTTAATTTTATTTAAGTAAATCTAATTTAGTTTCAATTTCTATTATTATTACTTTATCTGATAAGGGACAGTTGTTAACGACAAACTTCGTTAGCATTCGTCGTTAAGTTGATTAGTTTTAACATTTCGATAATATGAAAGTTAAAAACGATTATATGTGAACATATTAAAATAACATTAAGTTCCCCCAAAAACGATGAAAAACTAAGCAAAGAGATTATATAAAATTTATTAAATATATAAAAAATAACATTTATTTAAACAATAATTTAAAGCTGTATGCAATGTATTGCACATTAACAATGCGAATATCAAGATTTAATATTTTATTACTGCCTTAGTACAGTCGATTTTCAATTCCAAAACATTGAGAAAGTCAATTAAATCACATGACTATGACCGGTCATTCAAATTTTTATCTGAGCAGATTTTCCGTGTAAATGTTTACTACCGGTCTTATAGTAGTATTAAATAACCCACAGCACAAACTCGTGTCTTTTCCCGAAAAAAATGATTAATTACTTCGTTATCTTTGATATTTGACACTGTGGGAAAATATCTATTCTATACGTATCTCCTATGAAAAATGTAGACTGTAAGATAACACAGATCCATAATATTAAACACGTTTTAAAGGAAGTTTTATAAAATATTACCTTGTTTAGCAATTATTATTGAGGAGCAATGTAGGCTCACCTAGCAAATTAAAAGATTCGAAAACAAGTTAAACAATTAAACTTACATAGAAATACTTCTACATCTTAACGCCAGTAAAAGTTTATTTTTTTTTAAATCGAATCTTAAATATCGAAAGCGTTGGACGTAACCTATGATTGGAATTATACGCAATCGTAATCTTTTAAATGTTTTCTACTAGAAATTAAACAAAAGACAAATGATATAATATAACAGAAAAACGCAGTATATTAGGCAAAAGTCTGATATATATACAAAAATGCGGTATTTGAATAATTATTAAAATAATATATGTGTATATATATATATCTCCACTTCAATATATCGCCACTTTTACTATGACATTGGTAAAACATTGCAAGGCTTTTACACAGGTCAGTGTGCTGAAAAAATTGATAAACGCATTGACACTGAGCACCACCAGAAGGAAGTGAATACGTAAGTAAGTACTTTATTTGATCATTCTATTTTTAGTATCATTCGTATCTTTATAAGAACGTTAATTACGTGTGTTCTTCTATCATAATAAATCAAAGTCTTATGGACGAACATTACAGATTATTAGTCGGAAGAGCAAGTAGGGAGAACGCGGGCGGCAATATGCAGTGCGTTTGTGATTTGCTACGGAACTTTAAATTAAAAAAAAGTTTCAAATTAAGAAGAAAACGTTGCTTTTTCAGGTCTTCTCCTCCGATTTCGAATACCAAAGTGGAAAAAGTTTTCATAGAAAATAATCGTGTGAGGAAACGGTCGTGGTTTACAACAATCAAGTTAGACTCTATTCACTACTTAACTCTTGGTGTTATAGGTAAGTTGAATTAACTTATTATAAAGAAAGCTATCAATTTATAATAGTAGGAGCCTTTTAAAATTCGCATAAATATTGATTATTAACCCAATAATCAAACAAATATTATATTTTATATTTATTGCTATACATATTTTGAATAATTAAAATGGTTTATATATCTAAGAAAAGAAGAAATATTATAATAACAAAACTGTACTAGTTTTTTACAGATAGTATTTAGAAATTATTAGCTAGAAGACTAACGTATGGATATTTTTTTTAAGTTATAAAAACATCCCATAACATTTCGTTAACAAAATAAAATATAACACATTTAAATATTGGAGATACTGTGTGTCAAAGTTTTTTTTTTATTAACATACTTTTTCTTAAAATAAATAAACAGAACAATAAGTGTTTTGTTAAGATCAATAGCCTTTAACTGACCTCGTTCAATCGATTCATTCGATCACGTAAAATTGCTTGGCCACAAGTCATTTTTTCTTTTGCTAGTACATTTTATAACGGTAGATGTGAGTAAAAAGACAAATAATAACTTTATTCAATAAAACATGACGTACAAAAAATAGTAGAAAAGTCCAACAAATATCGATTAAAAATAAAAATATAAATATAATGTTCCCAGAAAATATTCAGGAAAGTCGTCATCGCTTTTCGGAAGCCTACGCATAATCATATGTCAATAATCATGATTTCTTGTAATGTAATCAGCATGCGATAAATGAGTTGATATATTTGTAAGCAAAAATGTTATTAAAACACTGTCCAAGTTTTTTTATGGTTAGGACTTTAATGTATTCTGGAGATTTTAAACAATAGAAGATTTGTCGATTTCATGTGTAGAAACCCTTATATTGTAATCTCGCTGTAACCTAGACCTTATAAGGGACCCGTTAATATATTATGTTTATTGTTCATCATTGTTCACCGATGATCCTAAACCCATGCAAATTATTGTCTTTCATAATAATCATGCTTAATTTTTTAGGAATTTTAACTTGGGGTCTATTATGGTGTGCGTTCGACGACGATTGGGGCTGGGACGGCAAGTGGTTCCGGCTAGGCGCTGTGGCGACGGTGGCGTGGGCGAGCGGCCTGGTGCTGCAGGAGCTCACCACGCTACCACCGCTCCTCGCCGCGCTCCTCACCGGCATCTTCGCCCGACACTTCGGCTTTCTCGACATGCGACATTATTCTCACATTGACGCATTTTTACGGTACATTATCTTATCTTTATTAATAGCTATGATGAGTTAAATGATTTACTGAATCGTTTCCATTCACAGTGTTTATATTGCATAATATTATTAGAAGCCTTTATAACTGTAAATGTTGTTAAAACTAGTATTTTGATCACATGATAAGAGCTGAAGTAAAAAGTTAGCGACTCGCCACAAAATATTTACGTAATATCCCGCAATAAAACATATTTTTTCTAATTACTTTAAAGACTATGGGAACAAAATGTCGAATCCGTATTTAGTAACACAGATCGGTGGTATTCAATTCGATTTTTATTATTTTACTTTTATTGAATTTTCTCGACAGAAAAATATATCCAGTAATAATTCTGGGCAAGGGATCTTTAGCTTGGGACATGGATTACATGAAAAACAACTGGAAGCAAGTTGTCTCTCTGGGCACTCTGCCGTGGTCGGCTGAGGTAGTTGTCATGGCGTTGTGTTCTCACTACTTCTTAGGATTTCCTTGGTTATGGGGTGAGTGTCTCAGATACTTTACGAATTTTATTGAAATTATTCGCATAAACTAAAAAAGGTAATTTACATGTAAATAGTTAAGATGCGTAGGAATTACGACGTTGCCTATCTCATAGCAAGATCTTATTACCGCGCTCAGTCTATGATCAATTAAAGTGATGTTATTTCATAATAAATCTACTAAAATAGTGGTAATTTAGTGACTATCAATATGGACTGTGGCGGGAGTTAGTCATTTTTTTTCCTTTGAGAAAAATAAGTAAAACTTAATAAAATTTCTTAGATTATACAAGACGACTGAATACCTTTGGCCATATCATTTTCTTAGCATCATATTTTATAATATAATGTATATTCCTTCCTGAAAATACATCAAGTTTAAAAGCAACTTGCCTCCGCTAAAGTAAAATTGAGGAGAAGCGCATGCGAATCGGATGCAATAACCTTAACATCAACATTAACTGCTGAAAATCCAAGATAAGTAAAATAAAGAGTTAAAAGTAAAATAACCCACTAAATTTATCTAATATTCTTAGCTTAAAACCTTAAAGAGGATTTTATTAATTAAATTCAATGAAGTGTTTATTCATGAAAATGAACTTTCAAAGTAATAAGTTACTGTGAATTTCAACAAAGGCTGCGACTCCTTGAGGATAGTTTAAGCACGGCGACGCTGCCAGATGAATTGTTATTTCTTGTTGCTGTAATAACAGTAGTTTTTAAACTACACTTCCATAAATATTTTCTTCGCAATCGGTTTTGTAATTTAAACGAAATATAATATTTAGAAAGATTGTTTGTTACATTTTTAACAAAGTGCTATAAATTGAAATATTAAAAATAGTTCCTTTCTAATACAGTAGGTGACCTTGACATAAAAATCCTGTTCAGTGCCAAGATTTTGTATGATATTAAAATTTAACTTCCTTATTGTGTTCCATTTTGTATGGAATATAAAATTTGTCACGATCGAGATGACAATGGGGTGCGATGTGTATTCAATATAAAGGCGATTCAATAAATTCTGTTGTAGGGCTCGTATCGAAAGATTTGAATGCATTTCAACCGCATGCAGTGCTCACCTAAAGCTAGGCCAGGCAGTGGTGTTTCAATATATGTGTACATAGTACTTGCATATGAATGAAGGCGTATGGCACCTGGAAAATCCTAGATTTTTGAGTGTTATTCTAAGACACTTTTACACATATTTGGTATAGAACGCAAAAAACTTTAGTAGCCTAGTTAGAATTATATATAAATATAATACATTCTTATTCTGTGGCTATACGTTTATAATATATGTAAGTCATTCGGCAGTGAAATTCTTCACTTACACGTTACACGTTCGTTGGAATCACTAATGTCAATAATACAGGATTCCTGCTGGGATCAGTGTATGCGTCAGTATCTTGTCCGGTGATAATGCCACTGATACAGCGGCATGGTACCAAGCCGGACAGGAGTCAGAACTGGCCCCAGCTAGTCTGCACAGCCGGAGGCACTGATACTGCCCTTAGCGTCGGAGTCTTCGGACTCATATTCAGCTTTATGTTCTCTAACGCCAGTGACCTCTATCGATATATCAAGGTAAGTTTTCTCTTTATGTGTGTTACGAAGTTCTCGCCTCGATAGTAGTGGTATATTAATTATTTTGTAATTAAAACTTGATAAACTATAAGTTAACTTGACAATGGAGTATATGACTTATAGAGATTCCAATTTAATCAAGCCTTTCTGTAACTAATGATACGTTGAAAGAATTTTAGCACCTTTCAGTTTTTTTGTAACTAAAATGCATAAGTGACTCAATTATAATAATAACTTGCAAATACTACTACTAATAGTGACTTGCAAATAATACTACTAATATATGTAATTGCATAAACTTCAGCTTTATAAAGTTAGTGTTAAAATTATTAAAACATCAAAAATAAATCTTTGCGGTGGTTGTTATCAAATTAGCATTTTATACGCTTGAGGGAGAGAAAATTGTGAAAGTTTGTGTGCAGGCGGGGCTGGCGCTGTTGGCGGGTGCGGCTCTCGGCGGCGGCTGGGGCGCGCTGGCGCGGCTCCTGCCTCACGCCCGGGACGCATACGTCACAGAGCTAAGGATACTGTTCGTGCTCGTCGGCGGATTGTTCGCTAACTTTTTTACGGCCGCACTAGGCTGGGGAGGCACGGGTAAGACACTTTATGGCATACGAAATTAGTGACAACACTTCAGATAAAATATTTTAAGACTAACTATCAAACCTTTCAATGTATTTTGTCTTAATTTTTAACTGAATTTTGCTATTGTATTTTGAATGTAATAAGTCATTTTTGTAATCAAAAAGTAACTAATGTTTAAGTGAAGAAATATTCAAATTGTACTATGAAGATAGTTCTACGTCACCTTTGACTTTATATTTACGGTACATTTTTGCGACTTAATTCCAGGCGGCATCGCAGTTCTGGCGTGCAACGCGACAGCTGCACGGCAATGGGCGCGGAAGGGATGGAAATTGAATCACAACCCGGCAGCCACGGCGTACCGAGTTCTCTGGTCTGCTTGCGAACCTGTTCTCTTCGCCTACACTGGTACATTTTTTGTGGTACGATGTTCTTTTTTTAGATGTATCCAAGCCGTTTTTGTACATTTACACTGCATTTTACAATGAAGATACTGAAGATATATTATATTTATAATGTGGAATATAACTATTTGCATAGAAATTATATATAATTTACCTTTATAGCCCATTGGCTTTATAGTTATCTAAAAATAAACGTAACATACTAAACAATGAATGCAATATGGAAAATGAACTATGCTACATTATGATATCATTGTTGACTATTAAAATCTGTTCTCGCTCCGGCTATCAGCGTGTGTGATCAATTGAAACTATTTATTGGTCGATTTGCAGATACACAGTTCGGTGACGGACACAATGTTACTGGGACTCGGAATTCTTCTCATAACACTTACGACGCGATTGCTCATCGCTGCTCTTGTATGTTGGAACCTTTCCATAAAGGAGAAACTTTTTATATGCTGTGCCTGGATACCTAAATCTATTGTCGAGGTAATAATATCAAACCAGGTCTTAATATTCCTGTGTTACCTACTTTGAGCTGATAGTGGTTTTTCTTTAATTTAAACAGTCTATTTATAAATTATGTTTTACACAATTAATCATCAACTTAGTTAGAACAATCATAGCGTAGGTAATGTTAATAAAACTTGCAATATTTGATTTACTTAAAGAAAATTAAAGGTATCGGTGTCCGTAGTTATTAAGCGCCTGATCGGACTGTAGTGTAATCTAAACGTCCATGTTTGACCGCACTATGCACCACTGTGTTTATCGATTTTTAGAACCAAAATATCACTACGTCACCCTAAGCGTAGTCAACACTAACTTGGGTATGTATGATCTGACACACATAGTTTAACATTCTTTTATAAACTCTTCAAATTGTACATTTTTAAGTCTTCAAAGTAATACCCCAAAGTGAGCCTGCGCTAGCAATTTCTTAAGGAAAAGCGACACTGAGGAGTTCATTACAGCTATAGTGTCGTCAAATTATCCCACGACAATGTCATACACCTTGTTAAGCTAATGAGTCTAAAGTTGAATGTGAGCACAAAATAGCTACGAAGGCATTGCTATGAAAACTTTAACATACAGAGAGTCATGTAGTAACTTAACTCAAAGACATTTATACTATAAAAGAAATGTTTTAAAATACATGGAATTATAAGTGTAGTTAATTTCCTCACAAGTAATATTAATTCTACTTTCCTACTTATGGATTCCGTTTTCAACAAATATTAAAAACACATTTTGTTAATCAATTTATACTTTCTTTAATAACTCCTAAATTATTTAGTAATGTCATAAACAACATATGTGATATACAAAACAATACTAAGTTACTATAATTATATTTAATGCCATTTAGGTGCGTGTAAAATGTAAAGATTTTCTGGCCTTATATTTCTTGTTACAAATGCTGAGATCACAGCAAAATATAAATGCTGGTTAACTGTATCATAAATAAGACTTATTAATATCAGACAAGATGAACAGACCTCTTCATGCTAGCGCACTGAAGCATCTAAGCGTAGTCAATTTATTTGATACCTTATCTTAAATGACATTAATTAAAATGTAAGATCGAGACTTCAAGGCGCCCACAATACTGTGTTCTTAACGCTGTTCATAGTTACCAAAGATTATTTTTTAGACAGATGTTAACTAGAATTTTACGTCAGCATTTTGGCTTGACGATGTGACTTTAGTTGTTACAAGATTAACTGCTATTAATACTATGCTGATATGAAATAAATTGTACACCTCTAGTTTCTAAGTTAAAACAGATTTACTTGTTGCAGGCAGTTCTTTGTCCATTAGCCATCGATACGTTGATAATGAAAGACTCGGACGACGACCACCAAATGAAGTACGCCGAAGATTTGATGAGGCTAGTTGTTCAGGCTATACTGATCACGACTCCGATCGGCTATCTACTCACGAATCATTTGGGACCAGTATTATTAAAATCAAAATCAAAAACCGATAAAGGTACACATATTTTGCTGTTGTCATATTTAACGAAGAAAAAGATAAATGCTCCACAGTGTGGCATCGTCCTTATGTTAGCACACATGTAAGGTTTAGCGTATGGGTTTTGACTTTACATGCATATTTTACAAGTAAACTGTCCGAATCAACATGCAAAACCAAACGTATATGGCCTGTTTTAGATTGCTCCCAGCATATCACCAATTTTATCAATTTTGTATTTTCTGACGTAATAAACGTTTTTTTGCAGACTTGGAATCTCACAAGCGAACATCAAGAGACACATCTATTATCGAAGATATTAAATTATAACTTAAGTAAACAAATCTATTTAAATAAATTTATAGAAACAAACTCTAGGGACCAAAGATATACGTAAGCCAAAATAGTTTAATACAATTTATTTTAATTTTTTTTATTTATTAAATAAAAAACTAATAATAAACTTAAACCCGTTTTTTGATTTTATAGATAATTGATGTGTGATGTTCGTAGTTGCCTGGAAATTTATTAAAATATTTAAGAACAAAAGTAGCTTTGTTCGTAAACCTAGCATAGGCTCAATATTCGATTAGCAATTATTGAACTTTTCTACCAACTAAAGTTATCTTGTTAAAACTTTCATAAGTTATGCCTAAGATATCAAAAGAACACCGCTTACTAATTCCGTCTATTTTATAAAACCTTAAGAATAAAACAAACAAATGGTTATATTAAGATTATAATCTAGAAGGCTACATATATTATTCAAAACCTACGCATTTCAACTTCAAGGCATACGATACGGTATTAGCTAAGTATTGCAGTGATCTGCAAAAATATTTCTTTTCACTCCTTTAGATTATGTGATCTAAGTTCAAACATAATAAATTCCAACTTGATACTTTCACGGGTTTTATAGAAAAAGGGTCTTGACAGACGGATGGACAACAAAGTGATCCTATAAGGGTTCTAAAAATCACTTGGGGTGTTCTTTCTTTGTCATACAACTTGTTAAACCAATTTTGTGCATATAAACACAAACTAGTGTGTGTACCTAGTGTTTTCGAAAGAAAATATATTCAAATAATCTGAAAATTTTAATAACGGAAACAGAACCAGGGTAATAAAATCTACATATTAAGAAAATACTCAATTGAGGATTTTGTTATTTTACTTGGACAAAAGTGTATCGAAATTAGTAATGTTTTCAGTCATAGTACACTACATATAAAATGGTATTGCGCTAAAAATTCAAAGCTAATTAAATGTGCGTTATAAGAAACGAGAGGCAGCAATTTTATAACTACGCGTATTCTTTTTTTTATAACATGGACATCTAACGACTTAAATTGTCACTACTTCTAATCATGAAAGTTTTTCATGAACAGTGTTCTCGAGATACGTTCGTGCTTCAATTGTTTCGTTGATGCAAAAGATGGCGCTACTTCAAGTATTTTCTTACACGTTATCTCTTCTCAGCCATACATAATATTATGAATGAAATAAAATTTGTTATCTATAAAACACAAAAAAAATCCACTTATTATTTTTTAAGTGATTAACTTAATAATTTATTTTTACACCTATGATTTCATGTGCCTTTTGAAATTTTCCCTGATTTATGTAAACCATTAAAATAAAAAATAAAATATGTATATAGGGCTGTCCCAAAAGGTTACGTACATAGGAAGAGGGATGATAGGGGTGGTCACAAGGGTCACCAGAAAAATAGAATAAAAATTCCTCCCTCTTATATTAAAAAAATAAATGGCATTTTTTAAAAACTTAAAATTTTTGTATGTCACTACTTATAGGGATCTAGCACAATTAACAGTTAATAACAAGTTGTGACGACTTTCTTGATAAAAATATACTAACAAACCTTCAGTTAGCAAATTTAGTATTATACGTATTCTAACTGAAATGTACACAACCTTGGAATATTTGTGGAAAATATTGTGTATAGTTGACACGCCCTGAGGTCGAGGCCACACTTTCAAGTTTGCTGTTAGTGTTGTAGATTATTACAAATTATGACTTGTGTGAAGCTACCCTAGACATTGAAATCGTTTACAAAGCCGATTATCATACTAATATTATAAATGCGAAGGCTTAGATGGATGGATGTTTACATCTACGTATCTCCAAAACGGCTTTACGGGTTTCGATAAAATTTTGCACAGATGTAGAACATACTTTGGTAGGATACCTAGGATAATTAATACATTTCTCTTTTAATTTAACGTGGAAGAAGTCGCGGGTAAAACGTAGTTATTAATATAGGTAATATTTGAAATTTTTCTAGCGAATATATCGGCGTGTTATTTTTTTTAATTAGAAGTTAATTGACTTGTTTTTACGTCTTCCTGTTTATTAAGGTATTTAAAATTAATATAACAAATTGTCGCATTACTTAGAATCAGATTTCATTTACAATCTTCATTGAAAACAATCTTAAAATGTTATCTTATCTATTCGTTTCTATCTTATCCACAATAAATTTTGTTAAAGCTTCAAGAAATATTGTTTTCAAATTTAGAAAGCATATAGGTACATAAGAGTCTTTATAACAAAACAAAAAAGTGGTGTATGTATTATTTAATACTTAAAATATATTACGCATATTATTGTTATATGTTACTCATCAACATTGCCAGATTCTTCTTAGAGGCCAGTCTAGAAAAATATTCTGAAAATCTGAATGTCCTTCTCCGGTTTAACTATTATTATTGCTACTCTTCTAACATAAAATCTCTTTCTAAGTCGTTTTTTTTTTAAATAAATAATTGTTTATATTACTTACAACTTCATTAGAGACTTTTTCTTAATTTAAAAAATGATTTCTTGTAATTTTTCATCAAATCAATTCTTCATCATTAATGATTTAAATAAAATGTTAACCCGTGATAATGACAACCTGTTGACTAGTCAGTCTTTCACTCTCCTTATCTCTATTTTTTAAAACACCGTTGCTCCTAAGTGTCCGATAAAGTAAACAAGTTGTTTCACTTGTAACTCATGATTTATCAACTATAATCCTCCACGTGACGATGCAACAGCTATGTGAAACACTTGACGAAACAAGCAATATAATAACAACGCTCTTGATTAACACTCACCACAATCGACTTCCTGAGCGGCCAGTATCTAATAATCTACGTTCTTTAAAATTAATTCAATATTCTGCTAGCTTATCTATAATACTCTTATATGTAAAACTCTATACTCTTTTAATCGTCGATGTATCTTTTTCTGATATTCTATTGTTAGATATTCGATGAAAAAGTATTTTTTTCAAAAGAACTAATAACGAAATAACGTACTTAACGCTATTTCAAAATAATTCTCACAATAATACAAATTGATAGCCGAAAGTAAACAAACAAAAATGTCGGACGTTCCGCCATGACGAATGGCAAGAGACTGGGTTCGAACAGCGGCGCGTGCTTCCCTACGAAGCTCCTAATGAAACTAAACCCAACAGTGCTTCTGTTCCTAATACTATATAAAATTTAATTTGAATTGCAAATTCTCATAATTAGATTTTAATTTCAATTTTTTGGTTAAGATAAAAATAATGTCTCATATCTGATGTGTCCTAGAGACTTAGTTAATTCATATACTCTTTCCATTCATAAGAGAAAAAGGATGGCATCAGTAGAAGTGTATGCGTGGTAAAAATGTCATCACTAATGATTTCCTACAATGTACAGCATGCTTTATTTTCAAAGAAACGTTTCTTATTATAACGGTAGCGCTATGCACTTGACACTGAATAAAATCAATTTACTGTATTTGTAACGAGCTTATGACACAGCATAAAAACAAAATACACTAATCGTTAATAATATTTCTGTAAAATCATAGTAGTAATTGTAAAATATTAAAAAATATCGAAATACTATCTAATTTTAATTATTCGATGACGATCTAAATCGTTCAAGTCTTTTGAATAGTTGCTCCCTACATATTTAGCGCTTTTATATCCTGGTGACATGTTAGTGCTAATTCCACATTGGTATGTTTAGTTTCATGAAGGTGTAGACGCCACCGTTAGATTTTCTCGGTCCTTATTTCAAAATTTCGCCTAGTCTCATATCACAAAGTAATAGATGTTAAAATTATAAACTGCTGATATATACAACTTAACGGTAACGTGTTTATTATTATGATAAGTAGCAGGGCCGAAAAACAGTTTTTTCTCGTTTTTTTGAAAAATAATAACTTAGACCAAAAAATACCCAACAGAGAGAGAGCTAATGGGCATAATTACAATTTTGTCAAACCTTTTATAACATGTTAATACCACAAGGAGTGTCAAATTTACAATTAATATATAACTAGAGCTTTATGTATTTGAGCAGAAAAGTTTAGTTTACGATGTCCATTTTTTATATTATTAAATGTATTTGATGCATAGGAACTATTTTCCAAACTATTTTTACACCGTGTATATCTTAAGAATTAAGAAACAATTTCACGTCTCGTTATATACCTACCATCGTTATTAAATTTCAATTTACTGTTTATATTATATTGCAGTAAATAGTATGTTACAAAAAAACAGAACATTCAGAAATGGAATTTAAAAATTAATTGAGTTAAGAAATCCCCATTTCATTAGGCATGTTCAATTATTAAGCGTAACTGTTTACTAAGTTAAATAATGTTAGATGATGGAATTTTAAATAATAAATAGCGAGGGAAAGAATATGTAAATGCTTAGGTTTAAAGAACCTTTCAATGTAGTACTATAACTAAATTATTTAACCTACAATAGCAAATTGTGAAGTACATTAGTGTTAATGATGTTCGAATAGCGTTTCGTATTTTAAGTCACAAGATCCCTTTAATTAATATGTGACGACGTCGGCGGAAAGGCTCAAACGCGCTCGGCGGGCGCGCGCCAGTGCGACCGGACTGCGCCCGCCGCCGCCGGCCACGCACGTCGCACAACGCTCTGCCTGTCGCACGCCGATACCGGCATCGGCATCGTGCACTACCAACATCTAACTGTTTTGATCACAAACCGCCCGAGTGTTTTCTGAAAAACACGACAATATCGCCGCGGCTCGAAGCCGCCTCGCTCCAGTTTTAAGGCACTCACTTAAGTGACCGCGCCGAGGTGCTAAAAAAAAGGCCCTCCGTCCTCACGTATTCGAGGCAGGTGACTTCTGTGTTGTTGTTTTTTATCAGTGATATTTACGTTGAATTGAATATCTTATCTGAAACCTGTCATCGAAGAAAAAGACCATTTCCAATCAAATTTATTTCGATTCTTGGCATCGCCGGGCACGATGATACAAAATGAAGTAGCTATAACGCTTATTAGTTAGATAGAGTGAAGATGAAAACTCGCGAGCTTCGACCGACAAAACTAAGTCAAAAAGGTACGC